GTTTGCATCTAGTAGAAAATACTTATATTTTAGAAAAAAAATATTATAATTAATTTAAAATATAAAAAATATCAACCTTTTCTTTCTCGGTCTTGATCTCACATTTATAAAATTTGAAAAATTTTATTAAGCGTTTCTAAACTTTGAAAATTATTTTATTTTTAATTTCATTATAAGCCTAAAAAATTAAATTAAAAATAAAAATATGAGATTTTACATTAAAACAAAAAACAAAAGGAATACATTTACATGATTAAAAAAATAGTTTACTCCAAAAAATTTAAAATTGCACATAATTTAAACTAAAAATATGATTAAACATATAATGGTTTGATATGCGTTAACAACCGATTATTTCTATAATTTCTTTATATTTTTCAGAGTAATGACTTTGTCAACGAGCGATGGCGCTTCCCGTTTCCCTTTCTCTTTCAGTTTCCAGTGATTCAAATTCTTCTCTGCGTGTGAACCAAAACCACCACATCAGTAAACACCGTTCTCTCTTCTGTTGTTCGCCGACGAAGCCAAAACGAAAGGTGACACTGCTTTCTCTTTGGTCAATTTTGCCAACGTCAAGAAGCATGCTGAGCAGGCCCGGTTTTGAGGATAATTTGGAAGTGCGATAACTTAGGGCTCAAACTTAAAAAGAGGGTTCAAAGTAAAAATTGTGTACTATTTTTACTTAAAAAAAATTCTAACTCTTACAATTTGTAGTTAAAAAAAATAGAAAAATAAAAAAGACTTTTTAATTTCTCGCACCTCACTTGTTATAAATGTAGTTGACTCATTAATTTTTGTAGACTCAAAATTTTATTTAATTCCAAAATTTTACTATTCTTAACATTAAAGCTCATGAAGAAATTTAGTTTTCTTCAAAAAAATTAAACAGTTATTGAGTTTGTCAAATTTACAAATTGTTATTTAAATGTTTTAATCACTTATAGAATTTTTTTTAGAGTCCAATGATTATATCATCAACTGAAAGAAATTTTTTAGAGTTAAAATTAATCAAAACCTACCTAAAATTATCAATGTCACAAGAGCCGTTGAATAGTCTCACAATTTTATCAATCGATAAAAAAAATTTAAAAAATATTAATGTTAATGTTATTGTTAATGATTTTACATTTTAGAATACTCGTAAAATCTATTTTTTATGATTTGTTTTGTTTTAGTAATTAATTATAATATAGAAATTGGTTGAATGAAAGAATATTTTTTTAATAATTTTATTAAAAAAAATTATAGCTATTTAAAAAATATATTATTTTAATAAATTTATTAATATATGTGTTTATTTTGTTTATTACATTTTATAATTTTTTTAAAGAACCTTAATTTCTTATTTTTCCTACGACCCAAAAAGTCAGGAACGGCCCTGATGCTGAGATCAAACCAAGTTGGTCAAATATATCCTAATAGAATTGTACTGATTACATTACCACTCTGAGAACTGAAGAGTCGAACCGTGATGGCGTTTGAAACCCACGTTACATATTTGATTTCAACACATGGTTCTTACATATATATAGTTCTCATCATATGGGTCTTGCTGTCTGTTAAGAAATTGAAAGTGATTTTTTTAAAAACTATACATTTATTTTATTGAAAATTTCGGATAAAAATAAAAATATTTCACTTTTGAGGACATTGTTATATTTATCTTGGTAAAATATAATCTTATAATAAATCTTTTGAATTTCTTTTGGACTAAAATGTTAGTTTAATTGTGTTGTGTTTTTGGGCTTTGTAAGATTCGTTTAATAGCAGTATGTATATATATATATATTTAAAACTAATAATAATAAAAATTTCTCAAAAAATATTTAAATTTTTTAATTTCATCCTTCGTATATATTTTTAAAAGTAGTAATTTTTTATTAAAAATTTATTAATTTATCATATTAAAATTATAAAAGTATAATAATTTTGTAAAAAATATATTATTATTATTAATTATTTAAATTAATATCTAAAAGTTAAGGTTACTATTTTTCGTATAAAAAATTTACCAATAATTTAATACATCAAACACATATACAACATCAACTTAACTAAAGAAGAAACTAATAATATGTAATTTTACTCTTCTTAAAATATAATTAATGTTGATATTAAATATGTGATTTAATTGATAGAAATTATTTCAACTTAATTTTTTTTAAATTTTAATTTTAATAAATATAGTTATGTTAAATATTTGAAGAATTCGAATTTCGACTATCTTTCCTCTTGAAGTTGCTAAGTCAATTCAAAATTACACTTCATTTAGTTTTATTATTAGTTATTATTTATATAGCAATGTCAATCTTGCTTTTAACCTTATCCTCTCTATATTTGTTGCACATTGGATAATTGGCCAAGATCACTTTGTTGCCTACAGGAACTCTGTCTCCATTGTGTTTTATATTATTTTGCAGCTTAGAGTTTCTTTGAATAATATTTGTGGTAACGAAATATTCCTAGTACTGCTCGTCTCAACCAATATAAAATAAGTTAATTTATTGTTTTATCTATATTTTCCTAATGAAAGTTTTTCCTGATTTTACCCGTAAAGAACTTTTTTATGGCCGAAAGTCTAAAAGTTACAAGTATTCTTATCATAACCATGGTTGAATCTATTTTAAATACTATTAAATCTTCTTTAAATTAAAAATTTTGAAATGAAGGTGAATAAGGGGTTGATAGAGATAAAAGTTTATAAAAGCACTGTTTCGAATGCACTTAAATGAAATGTCTATTTGAATATGAATAATGCTTTTAAATTTTGAAATTCTCTTCTTGACAAATATGTATTAGAATGTAAGGGAAAAAAATGTGACTAACTTTTTCTTTTTTTTTTACTATTATGAATGTGGAATAAAAAGATATATGTGCACAATCAATTAAAAGTAAAACTATCACATATTTTAATTTTCTGAATAAAAAAACAAAGCTACCTATCTCGTGATAATCGCTGAATCATCAAACTAAGGAATCATTACCTAAGTTTCTTTTTTCTTGGAAAAGCTAAACAAAGTTATTCCAAAGGACCAATCTTCATTACAAGTTTTAATCAATGTTAGACATGGAATCTTTGAATTACAAGAAAAATTAACATAAAACGAACCCCTTATAATTATAACGTGGTCCATAACAAAGTATCATAACCGTATTATTGACTAATTAAACACAGCACCACATCAGCAAGTTTAAATAAATTAAACCTAACATATCCCACTAGCACATGCAGAAAGTAATTAGTCTAATGATACCACCACTTGACTAATAGCAGCGCCCTATTTTCCTGTGATGTTGAAAATTGCTTTGATAATGAAACATCTTTACCAAGCTATTAATTAATTTTGTTATTTTATTTCAGCAGACACCACCGTGCACAAACGATATTCAAAACCTTGCCCATACACGAAAAACAACTTCAGTAAAAGTCTCAATTCCAATATAACTAAGTAAATTCCACTATTCCAAAGTAGAAAAGTGGAACTAAAGACTCAAGCAATCGTTTATGACATCAAACTACATGTAGCTAAACTTACATTACCATATATAGCTACCTCAGTCGCTAAGAAAGACTTCACCTGCCTTAACAGTTGTGAATTAAGCAGTCTACTATTAAATTCAAACAATTTATAAGAATAGAATCCCAGTAGAAAATCTGGAAAATAAAACTCTTTACCCTTTACACGTTAACCAACACCATATTTTAAGTTTAATGAGATACTTCTGCAACGCTGCAACATCATGACTAGAAAATCAATATTTTTCTAGCTAGCCATATGGATCATAGTGTAGCCCTATACCAATGCAAGTTACCATCCAAACATGCATCCCTTTTTCCAGCATTACTTGAAGGCAACATCTGAAACTGGAAATACTGTTCCAAATAGATGCATCATTGTTATATACCCTAGTCATTGAATTAGCAGACTTGATCCTTGACATAATTTCATGGTAAAAGAATAGATGATCAAAATGCTCAAATTTTCCACATGCTGTACACAGCCTCTAGTAAATCTAACATTTCCTTGCACAATAACTTCACCTTTGTTGGTAATTTATTTTTTATCAATCTCCAAGAGAAGACATTTACCTTTAAATTTATAATTTGTTAATTTTTTAATTTTTTCCTTAGTAGTTTAATAAAATTTCTCATTTATAGCCGAATCGCCATGCTGGTAGCCACAACAGACTTTTCTGATGAAGTTTTAAAATTCTTTAGCTAGGATGCGAAGGAATGACTAATTAAGGTACTGTTGATTTTTTAAAATGTAAAATTAGGCAACTGTCACAACTTCATTATTCGATTTTTTAACACGTCCAACAACACATAATAAAAAATTATTAATAAAAAATTTATAATATTTAATGTTATTAATGATAAATTTTGAGATATTTTATAATTTTTAACAAAAATTCATTATACATGTATATGTTAAAAAAATAATTCGTTATTTGAACTGCCAAAAATTAACATTATGTGTAATATTATATATAATTTTTTTTATATAAATTCATTCCAAAAACATATTCTAATTGTCAAAAAAATCTAAAAATATCGCCAAAGTAGTAAAAAAACAATTTTTCTTGTAGTTAAATAGCTCCTTGGCATATTGATGTATTTTGCGATCCACAAATATTTGAGCACGTCGTGATATCCTTGTATAGCCTATATTTTATTGGGAAAAAATCCAATCGCAAACTATGCAATTGTGAAAGAATGTGCACAATCATGCTAAAAAAAACGATGTAATGCATATCTTAATAGTGTTTGGCTAAAATACTACTCTAGATATGAGAAAAGAAAAGAAAAGAAATTACCTCATATATTTATCAGTCCTAATTCGTAAAAATGCAGCAAGTGTATTAATTTTTTAAAAATTTGACCAATCATATAAAATGTGTTGTGTGTGTTTAAAAGAATGTATTACTGACATTTTACATGCAACATTAAGTTGAAAGAGCTAATTTTAGAAGAATTGAACTACCCAGTGACGCATTTGGAACATCAAATGAATAATGAATTTCAGGTTTCAACAGATAATTGTCCAATGTTGTTCTTCCGAAGAAAGTCCCTAGGAATGGTACATACCAATAAGGGGTCGTTCACATGCTACACTGTGCTCAACAGGGCACAATTCCAGCCAAAGAGGAAAACTCTCGTGTATGCAGCGTTCAATACATATTTCAATGCAAATTTATTTGTTATTTCAAAATATACTCTAAAATTTTGAATGGTTGTACCTATAGACACTTAATTCACACAAGAATTACTCACCACAGAGAATACAAGGGAAGGAAAGACTATACATAGAAAACCTGTCCAACATTTAAGAGGCTCTCGTGAGGAATATTGAAGATCACACTATGTTCCCTGCATATCTTCCTAAGAAATGCATATATATAATCAACAGCTATTTTCTTGTAGAATCTTGAATCCCTCCTGGCCCTCACAACTGTGTTGCCTAGTATGTGAACCACTCCAGCATCCCTACAATTGTTTAAAAACTCAAGTTCATCAACCTCAGTATGGCTGCTTACATGACCAGAGGACTGAACAGTAACATTTGCATGTGATGGAGATCTAACTGATACTATTGAATCCACTGATGAAATTGAATCCACATTCAATGAAGCAGTGTTTGTATTGTTGTTCAAAAGGCCTTCTCTTGATTGCTCAGTTTTCTGTCCATATAAACTGTACTCATCTGAATCTGAGCAACCCTCCATCATAGACTCAAGCTTAACAAACACAAAAAGGTTATGAAAGAGCTTTTTCTCAAAATCGTCGTCTTTCTTATGCAGGTCTTTGTATCCATATCGTGCCACGCATCGAAACATGTGGAAATTCTTAGGTCCAATTCGCTTCACAAGGAACCGTTCTTCCTCTGGGACAGTGTAGACAGGAAGATATTTCACACATACAAAAACAACAACAGAATGGATAGCGGGTAGGTTGGTGATAAAATGAGAAAAGATGTGGGGTACTCCACTTGCAAGCTCTGTGTAAACTAGCCCAATTCCAGGGACACGAACAAGTCCTAAACTTGGCCCGAGCCCAAGAATCCATGCCATGGAGACCTTACTATGCATTTCAAACTCATAGCGTTTCACTGTACCATAATGCCAAACATACATAATAACAAGAAATGCTCCAGCAATTGCAAGGGGAGCCCATCCACCTTGATCGACTTTGAAGAGTACGGCGGAGAAGTATGTACATTCCACAATCAATGATAAGCCCGTGAACACAATGACAAGAATCCAATGGCAGCGCCAAACTAATATCATGATTAAAATCATAAGCAATGTAGTAACCAGCATGACTATCACCACTGCAGTACCTGTCATTACAATCGCAATTATATCATTGTGTGCACACTTAAAAAGACAGGCGACAAAGTCATTGTAAATAAAAGGAACGGCAGTAAACAAGTCAATGAGCATGACATAGTTTCCTAATCAGCATATCTTTCTGACAGGTGAAACACATATGCGGTACTTCTTAGACCCTTTGGTCTGAAAAAATAGAGAAAAGGCCCTTTCATGTAGTACTGATCATCCTTTGTAACCATTTTTTAATTTCTTTTCACTTGATTTTGCTATTTCTAAGGATTTCATATTCTCCTGGAAGTTGGACTTTCGATGTCCTTTCTAATAAATTTATTTTCTCGTAAAAGAATGAAAAATACGTCTCATGAATCATGACATTCAACCGGTTAAAACTTACCATATGCATTTCCAATCTGGCTTTGATTTTTAAACCCAGCAGTAACAGCAATGCAAAGAATCATAAGGATCCAATTGATATCTGGAATATATATCTGACCAAGGAACTTCTTTGATGTATGTACAACTTTAACTCTTGGGAAACAACCATGAGCAAGGGCTTGCTTAATAATTGAGAAGGTTGCAGATATTGTGGCCTGACTTGCAACTACTGCAGCTGCTGTTGCAACAACGAATACTGGCCAGTATATTTTGTCTGCAGACATAAGGATAATCAACATTTAGTGAATAAGAAATTAATGTATGAAGAAACAAGCATGAATTATTCTAAGGAAGAAATAGAGGATTTTTGCCAAAGTTTCATCTCCACAGACATAACAAAAAAAGAATTAGTATGGCAAAGAAGTCCAAATGATTGATTGAAAGCATTCACAGAAAGGATACTGTGCAATCACTTAATTTTATCGAGCCCGGGAAACATAAGGAACAAAAAAGTATGGCAGTCAAAGGATTTACGATGACAATTGACTTGTCTGACTTGGCCATGAAGTTTTTATCATAACATACAGTTTTAGGCATATCTAGACTAGAGCAAGTCTTCAGGAAAACTGAACTGTAACAGTAAATTTTGCATTTTCTTCAAATGACTGAATGTATGAGCAACAATGTAAACCATTTAGTGTCATATGAGTCATACTCAATGTGTTACTATTTCCATTTTCTCCCTCATATAACTCACTTAAAAAATAGATATAAAAAGTCATTGACTAGAACTTGAAAATTATCATAGACTAGCTGACACAAAGCAACTATTGCAAAAAGACTAAGCTATTGGGGAAGATAAATGAATTGTCTATAGTTTTATAACACCTCTACCATGCCTCCTCATGAAAAAGCCCATTGGTTTTAAAACATGAATAATGTACAACCCACCTACCTTATGCTCAATTTCAACTTTTTTATTTAGAAGAATAGGCAAGGATCAAACACTGGACAACTTGGTCATAGAGGCTTTGGTACCGTTGATTTAGAATCTATTAAACCTGGTCACGTGAGGCCATGTGATATGATATTGGGCCAGACAGGCTGTTCAAACTTCAAAGCCTTTTGAACATAGGTTGAAAAAAATGCCAGAAAGGAGAAAGAGATGGCATGGCTGAAAGTAGTTCAACTGGAAGGGAAAAATCAGAAACCATTATTCTGAGATTGATAAAAAGATGTTACACACATACAAAAACCAAATGCACCTATTTGGACTATTAATTAGGTCAATCAACAAGTACTACTAGTACAAGCCTAGGACCAGAAGAGTAACAAGTAATAACTCTAATGTCCAACAAAACTTCCCATCAAGCTTGAGTTGTTAGAAGTAGCAAACCATAAACAAAAAGGAGAACACCAGCCCACCAAACACACAACTTAGACAACTAGTATTCCCCCTAAATCACAAATCTTGGTAGTGTCCTAGGTATATAGTTGCTTGCTTCTCCATGGCACACATCCCAAGCAAATGAAACAAGTTTATGAAATCTTTGGTCTTTCTCCTCAATGGCCATCTCAACCTCCAAACTAATCTCCAAAGCTTTCAGTCGAGTGTCATACCACCCAGTATATGACCTCCATCTAGGTCTCCAAGTATGATACCACCCAATGACCTCTAACCAGGTCTCCAAAACAGAATCAGGTATCATGCTACCAGTAGGCAGTGGCACAAACAGGGTTCTCTACTCGTATCTAAAGTTTTCGATCTGCAAACCCTTGACTGAAAAAGAAACTTAAGGCATTAATCTCCACACACACACACAAAAGCCAAGTGCTGCCACAAACACCATTGACAATTCTTTGGGAACTCCTCAACTCTCGCCACTGTTATTGCAGCCCAACATGGCACCACCAGCCACCCAATTGTTGTCAGCAATTACTACCTAGCTTTATTTTTCCTCCTCAACAGGATGATATCATATCAAGAAGCCAACCAAGAATGGGAAAATGATAAAAAAAATGTCAATGGAAATCACACCAAATCATATCCAAACATGATCAATTCACAAAAACACAGTATGCTTTGAATTGAACACCAGAATCATAAAAAAATATGTTCAACAGCATCTCCAATGCCAAACAAGCTATTAAATGGCAGAAGGATACCAGACATGGTTATCACCAAGAAGAAAGAAGCAATAATTCTTTCAGAGAATGTTAGACCATCCCATGATCCAAACATAAAGAGCAAAGAAGTATTGAAGATCCATCTAAACAACATGCACATCAAACCACAGCCATAATAAAGAAAGGAAAAAGAAACATCACAAATACTTGATCACCTTCAATCAAGACAAAATCTAGAACTGGAAGAGGAACGGACTCTGAAACAGAGGAGGAAAATCAGCTTGAATTAACAATTTCCGGCCACCCAATTGGTAGTCTAATAAAAAATCCATAAATAAGAGACGGCACAATCGTGGTTCAACATAAGCTTAAGAGGTTCAGTGAAAGGGTTTCTTATTTTTATAACATCTCATAACATTGGTCAACATAGAATATCACTAAAAGAGAAAGATAAATGAAACTTCCACCATGAAATTTGTAATAAGAAAGAGACAACATGATTGTTGACAACATTCTTTACACCACATGTGCATCACAATTATAAATTTCAATATAGTGTGACAAATATAACAAACCTGGAATAGAACGATAAAAAGCATCTTGTGAATGCTTCAAGTTATGCATAAGGTAAGCAGCTTGTCCAGAGTAGGCTAGAAGAAGGCAAGGAAACACAAGCAGAGTAAATGCAATCTGTACAGATGAGACTGGAAAATGTGCTAGGTCAGCAAAAAGAGCCTCTGTCCCTGAAATAAATCATACAAGTTGCCAATTTCAAATCATCTATTCACTTCACTAATTAACAATTCTGAAATAGGAAGAGGAAATCAACAGTAAGAAAACTGATGATACCTGTTATGCTGAGCAAGATGCCACCCAGGGAAGTCCACCCTTCTTTACCTCCATTTCTTAGATACCGATATATATACACAGGTGAAAAGGCTTTCAGAACACTGCTGCCATGTTTACAGATGTTGAATATACCTATACCTCCAATTAGGAGAAGCCAAAGCAGGACAATTGGAGCAAAGAGCCAGCCAACCCTATCTGTACCATAATGTTGCATGCTGAATAGCCCAACTAATATTACTACAGCAACCAGCACAACTACTCCTGCAATTCAAGGGAGAAAAAAAAAGACAAAAGAAACTTTTTCAAGTGTAAGAACTAAGAGCTTAAAATAGTTGAAATTGGAACTATAATACTGAAACACATAATGGTAGAAATAGAAGAAAATGTACTGTTATAGGTGTAGGAGCATACCGTTACTCAAATCAGGGTGATTTACCTTGATGCCTCCAGCAGCAGATAAAACTACGACAGAAATCTCGTAATGAATATCTTGAAATAACTGGAATGTATTTAAGATGACACTAAAGCTAAAAATGCAAATTGAAGCAGAACCATTTTATCTGGAGCCTTAAGCAATACAACATACATGGAGCTGATAATGAGATGAACTAATTAAATTAATTTTTTAATAATCCATAATTAAAGTGAAGAAAGAAAACAAAAAAGCTTTATAAACAATGTACTAAATTATGCATTCTAGGCCCTTCCAGGCTTTATTTAAATACATCTCTGCTGCTGAGTCATTTACCACCAAATACTCTACAAGGTCATTCAAAATACTATGAATTTGAAATTATATTTACATCATTGTCCTTTTATCTCATCTCATAACATGATTTTACAGTTTCCCATTACTGTTTGGTAAATTTGCACACTGTGACTAATAAAATAAAGAAGCATATAAATCAGTTGACCGATAGCGAACTTGGGTAAATATCATGACATGAAAGCTCACATTTACAGAAAAATAATAAAGAGATAGGAACAAGAAGACCAGCTTCAGAGAGAAGGCATACCAGATATAGCTGGGGTAAGAATCCCATCTCCAATCACCATGCAGGTACCAACAAGGACAAGAATAAGAATGGTATTTTTAATAAAAGCTTGTTCCTCTAACCATCTCTTGGTTTTTGCAGCAAATGACTTTTCATGGAAGGTAGAGCGACTATATGTTGTTAGCTCTTCATCGGTACGATGCTGGTTTGGAATGGTTTTTATATTTGCATGTCGACAGAGCAGGGAATAGAGAGCCAATGTTCCACCTGCTCCACAGATGCAAGTGTAGTAAAACTTAGTAGCAGATCAGCAGTGTCAACAGAGATATTTGTGCAACACACCATATATGGAAAATCTAGTGTGCTTCACTTAGTTATTAACCGAATTCATTTGGATCTTTAATTGAAAAGTTAGCTATCCCATGAAATATAAGTTATGATTCACTCTAGACTTAAGTGCATACCTGATTTACCAACATGATATGATATTGTGAATAGCAAAATTCTGTGAATAATCCAGGAAAGGTATAAAGGAAGGGGAAATTTTATGATATTAAGATACTCATCCCTTTCCAGATTTGGTTCTATCAAGCATTATCATATAGGATGAAAATCTTTACTATGCAACATAATGCATTCTAAGGGAATCTTATTCACAGAAATAAGATTAAGATAGAGAAATGCAGCTGACTACCACAACTTGAAGTTATAATACATTTGCTCAGTCCAACCATAAAACCTTGATCACCAACAATTACAAGCAAATACCTTGACCATTGTCATTTGCTCTTAATACAATAAGAACATATTTGAGAAGTGGAACCAGAGTAAGAGAGTAAATAATCAAAGAAAGAGCTCCAATCACATCCTCCTGATCTTTAGCTCCACGAGGAAAAGTATTATAGAAAACGTATAAGGGGGAAGTGCCCAAATCTCCATAAACTACACCAAGGCTCTGATATGCAAGCCGCATAAGCAACAGTGCAGAAAATTTCTGAACAAAGCAAAACAACATAAACAAGGAATTATACACCAAATTCCAGTGACTAGCATAATATCTTATTAAGATAATTAGCAAGTGAAGAAATCTTGATTGAAAGTTCAAGTTATAATCACTTAACAGACAAGAAAAGGTATGGAATTCTAAGTCTACTCAACATTTAGATGCATTGTTGAATTTCTTGTAAGTGTTTAAATTTGAAATAAGATTAACAGTTTCAAATTAATGCTCCAGAATACAATTTAGTGTAAAAGGTCTTTCTTGTGCAAATAAAGCATCACTGTTGTTAAAATATAAAACCAATCAAGTGCACCAGATAGCTTAAATTTAAAGGAGAGTTGGTTCTGAACTTGGCTTGAGAATCTCTTTCACCAAGAAGTCAGAAGTCTAATCCTTGCTGCCCACTTCAACTCCACGAAATAGTTTAAGTTTCAAAACCATGTCCAGGAACCAACTCCCCCTAAAAGCTTAAGCATAGATGTTGGCCCAAGAATGGTTTTATATCTCTAACACACCCTCTCACACAATATCTCTGAAAGCCTAAAGCACATATATATTGCATATGTCCATTTTACCTTACGCTGAAGCTTAATTTAGTATGAAGAATAGGCAGCAAGGATAGAAATTCTGACACTTAATCTTTGAGGCTCTACTACCATATCATGGACCAGCTCTCCTAAAATCTTAATGTATTGCCAAAGCCTATGAAATCATTCACAATTTCACATGCTTCGATCTAAGCTTAAATAAAATCTTTTTGGATACTTGGTCCTGGACTACATTTAAAAGCTTACATATTAATTAAGCGATGGAAATATAATTGAGCAGAAAAAAGGGCAAAATCAAAGTTGTATATTCCATGTTTGAATTCTAAGCAACATTGATTATTTTAAGCATTTTTTGAGCACTGAATGATAACTACATTAGTTACAATATCTTTTTAATTGGATATAATATTGATATACAATCATTACCAGTATTCAAATTATTCAATTAATTAAGAATGCCAATTAGGCGTAGCAAATTGCAGTCTCGTAAATAAATAAAGCTGAATTCATCAAGAGAAGGAGAAAGAATGTTAAGAAAAGTTGCACCATACTTTTTCTCTGTACATATTTTTTAGCCTTCCAGCTTCTTCATCCATTGGCTGGTCAATCTTCTGATCCAAAACCCAGATACCACCTCTGTTATCAGCATCTTCATCATACTCTACTGTTGAAGCCATTTAGAATTAGTGCTCAGTTCACAACTAAGTGCTGTTTGATAACCCCCTCAGTTCACTACAAGGAAACATTGGTAACAAAACATGAAATCATGTGGTTAACAAAACACCCCGACAGTTGAAAGCAAACTCGTATGAACTCCATGCCTACTCAATCCAAGGATCGAATCTGACCTATAAAAAAAAGGAATTGACAAACCCTATTTCTAGAATCGACACATAATTTATATGACTACACCATAGACTGGTCCATTCTTTAACATCAGGAAAATGTTTTTTGCACAACTAAAGCCAAACAAGTGAGAAATAAAAAAAAAAATATAGTGTTAATTACTCCCGCTATCTTATTTTAAGCGTTAATAGTACTTATACACACATCTTAAAAAATAATTAATTTTACTAATTATTATAATAAAATAAATTTATTTACTAAAATATTCTTACAAAAGTGTTAAAAAGTCATTGTTAACCGACTCCAAAAGTAATATTGGAATTTTTATAGTAGTTAATCAGTGAGAATTACTCCTAATAAATAAATATATTAATAAAAAATTAATATCTTCTTAAAATTTTAAATTGACAAATAAAAAGTAATTATGAAAGGGAGGGAGTATTAGATATTCAAATGATGGAAATCTCCACATTAACTACCGCAGAGTTTTTTCCCATAAGAAGAATAAAACCAACGGCACCACCTAGGATAGACTACCTTATATTACTTTTCAGTAAAGCTTATTTGTAATAAACAAGATTCAAAATGGTCAAATACCTATTTTTGAATGCAAAATCAGTTAACATAGAACATGTTCAACTTGCAAGGACCAATAGAACAATCTCAAATTTAAATTTGAAACCCAGAAATGAAAATTCAAGCATAGCTCAAGCTGAACAGCAATCCTAACCTCAATTGTCACAAAACCTGGTACTTGTTACCCAGAAGTGTGTTCAGCAGAAGAAGTAGGAGAAGTTTGGTGTCAGCCGCAGAACCAAAATCCAAGGTCAGATTCATCAAGTAACCAAACATGAAAACGAGACAGTTCCAGTTCGGTTTGTGGGGAAGAGAAAACCAAAAGGGTAACGTAAACGCTGAACACTGGGTGCTTCCGTGCACACCCTGTCAGTGTCTCCAAGAACAGACAAATAATCTGTGACCATGAGAGAGAGAGAGAGAAAACGGAGAGAGAGAAAGGTGGAACCCACTCTACCACTTGTTTAGGTTTTTGTGGATTGTTTTTTTCTAATTAATTCAGCACCTTTTAATTATTTAATTTAAAATTAAATTTAATAAAATATATTTAAAACTATTAAATATTATTAAAAATATATAAATTGATCTAAATTAAACATTTCTATTAAAAATTATAAAACTTAATTTGATGACTTTAAAACAAGTAACCTTTTAATGTATTATTGTTTTGCTGATGCAATCATTCCCTGAAATGAAATGGACCAGAATGGGATAAGTTCGACTCCAACCTAGTTTTATCATTGTTTATAATTTTTTATTGGTGACGCCTTAAATGACCAAAAACATAAGTTAGTGCTGTCTGATGCCATTCTGGAATGTCAATCATAGAATATTCGAAATGTTTTATTGTCATTATAATATGTATTGGTGTTTTTATTTTAACTTTTTATATAATTTTTACTCAGTTCATTCATTATTAGTTTTGGACTTCTCTATTAATTAAGAGTGGCAAACCCGGTTCAGCAGCCAAAAATTCATCTGAAAATAAATTAGCTTGGGTTCATTTTATTTAAAAAATAAATTAAATTTTTTAGCCTCACTCATTTAAGAATAGACTAGGAGTCCGCTAAAAAATAAAAAATAATTAATAAGTATATTAGATTAATGGGTAAGTCATAAAAATTAATCAAAAAAAATATATTTTAAAAATAAAAAATAAGTCAGACAATCCAGATCATCCTAATCTGCCAATAACATACATTTTTACAGGTTAAAACAAAAACAGACCAGCTGATCCAAAATTAACAATTCATTAACCTAAAATTTTCAGTTTACTCTGCCAATTTTAGTAGACTATACTGACCAGCTCAAACTCAATTTAACAACTCTACTATTTTTTCATTATCATATACCAGTTTTCAATTTAAACATGTCCTCTAATCTATTATTTCTATTTGTATTTATTTATTTTACAAAAAGGAAAATATATTTTTAAAAATAATTATTTTATTAAAACTATTTAAAAATGTTCAGAAGTAGTTTAGAATATCTAAAATCTAAATATAACTTTTTGTTGTCGATGAATTAATAATCACTAGGTATTATTAACAAAATAATAATAGGATTTACCTTATTTTTTATGAAGGCATACTAAGTTCATAGATAATCCATCACTTTACCCAACTTCTTTTCTAGAAATATAGTCAACACCTTAGACATGCACCTAATTAGTAAAATTGTATAATCTTAAATAATTTTTTGAGGACTTCTTTTTAGAATCATGGTGACGAGTGAGCTATTGAAACTTCTTACTAGAATTTATACTTATGAAATTTTGACATGAAGAATAAGAAATATACCTTAATGGTGAGTCTCTTATAGTCATTGACAAAATAGAAATCAATTCCGTTTGCACTCGAATTCATTTACAAAGTGTTTATAGACAAATTGTTTTACACGAGTTATTTATATTTTATGTCCTTTGACTTTCAAGCAAAAGACATTTGATTTCCTTCTTTTATTAATGTGTCGATGAAAACACTTTGAATTAGAGTCTTCATTCTTCAACTACCTTTATTTTTATTTCTACAGCAAATGATTTTTCCTTCATTCTCAGTTCTCATAAGCTTCTCACTGCGCACTTCTTCTCCACTTTCTTAGTTGCTAATGACTTTTATTCTCTTTAAGATTGTTTTTTATTAATTCTGCTTTTGTGTTTTAAACATCTGTTTTCCAAGTTACTAAAATAATCTTTGTTTCGTTCCCTCAATTTTTACTATCGCCTTCAATTTTCATTTATAACACCTATATTCATTGAAACTCATTGTATTTTAACAAAACATGTATCCCACAACATCTTTTTAACAATTAAGTATACAATAAGTTTTTAATCCAAATGAACCCTACTGTTTTTTAGCAACACAATGATTGGACATACTTCTTAGTCCTACTACAATATAAATTTTAGTATAATTTAAATACATTTTAAATATATCTTAAATTGATTTAAGTCCTCAAAACTTTTTTTAATTTTTTTTTTACTTACTTAATTTAATGTTGGCATTTTATTGATCTTCAACATTAAATGAGTTCTATTAAATGAATTCTATTGATTGCCACAATAATACTACAACTTGTCATTACAATTTCAAGTGACATGCCATCACATTTTTTCTCTTGTCCTTAACCTTACCTTCTTCCCCTTCCCTTTTGTTGCCCCAATCCCCAACCAACCATCATGAATCCAACTCCAATGCCACAAATACAAGCCAAGTCTGTCATTATGCCATGAACGAACACTTCAAACCTTGAACCAATCCCTAATTTTCCTCCACTCTAGAATTTAATCTGAACTTGTTAATTATATTGTTATAGCCCCAACCTCGTTGCTGTACTCCACCTTCGTATATCAATGAAGGAATGTAGATGCTTTTAAATTTTAATAGTAATTCTAAACATAATATGATATTAAAGGGTTGTATGCCTGTAGCAGCTACAATATTAAGAACCACGATAAAAGCATATAGCCAAAAAAACCCTTATTTATTAATAGAAATCTCACATGAAATTATTATTAATAATACATGTATCTCTCACTTCTTCTTCTTTTCAAATCTTAAGATTCAAAAATACTATCAAATTTTTTAACATCAAAATTACTTTTGAGCTAAAAAAATATATAATAATTTTAATTTTTAAAAATTAACCAAACACTACTGAAATATTATTTTATTAAAGTAAACTCGTTTTTTATAAAAGTATGTTTATTAATTTCTTAAGAAATTAAAAAATATTTTTCTTTAATTCAACGAAAAGATTACTTACAAGTAATGCCACGTGGACAACGAAGTCATACCTCGTAAAAATAAAAAAGGTTGGTGTAATATATTTTACTCTTATTGGTCAATAATATAGGGATAACCCAATAACAAAAAGGCTGTAATTATGGGCCACACGCATATATGGTGCAACCGCTATTAGGGCTTTGTGTAATCTAAACGAAGCTCGCAAATTCGAATCTCCTCTTCCTCCAACCAAAACCAAATCGAAGCGTTGCCATGGCGACAACGTCGGTGGTGCCGGCGAACCGGCGGCGAGCGCCGAACGTGGCGGAGGAGATGGACTTCGAGACGACGGAGGGAGTAAAGGCGATCGCGAGCTTCGAAGAGATGGGGATAAAGGACGATCTGCTCCGAGGAATCTACCAATACGGCTTCGAGAAACCCTCCGCTATTCAGCAACGTGCCGTTACGCCCATCATCCAAGGACGTGATGTAATCGCTCAGGCACAATCCGGCACCGGAAAAACCTCTATGATTGCTCTCACGGTTTGCCAAGTCGTTGACACCTCCGTTAGAGAGTGCGTCCCTTCTCTCTTTTTATCGTTTATCCGCTTTCTGTTTTTGTGTGTTTGTGTAAGTGTTTTCTGAAGCGGTTCGATTTCTAGGTTAGGGTTTTTCAATGGTGTCGGATTTATTGGTTATTATAGGGTTTTTGGTGTAGGTGATGTTTTGTGTGTTTGTGGATGGTTTGGATTTAATAAACATAAGATGATGATGAAGTCGAAGAAGAAAGTTGGAAAGGGAAATGATGGTGAATTTTTAATTTCAGGTGAATGTTATATAAATTCAGATTTTTTTTAAAGTGAAGGAATGGAATGATTGGTTATAATGAAAATGAAGCTATTTGATTATTCATTTCTTATAAAACACAGCATAACGCTCTTTTTCTTTTTCTTTTTTGAAAAGGAAGACTTTGTTGTTTTTGTCCTTTCGTTCTCAAGCCTCCATCTGAAATTGCTCTGAATAAAAGGGAAAGGGGCGAAATGGTAGATTATCATGAAACTTTTGCGTTATTCGTTTATGAACATAATATAACTCTTATTTCAAAAGTGAGAAGTTTAACGTTCATGCCCTTTCCCTCCGAAACCCTCCACCTGAACATGTCCTTAGAATGTAGGAACTTAATCTTAAAATGTGTGTTTTGCTCCAAACTGAATACACAAGCTTCTTTTAGATGTGTGCTATCAAGTTATTGTCTTATTATGAATTTTATGATTTCTTGACAGGGTTCAGGCTTTAATCTTGTCACCGACAAGGGAGCTGGCCTCTCAGACTGAAAAGGTTATATTGGCTATTGGAGATTTCATTAATATACAAGCGCATGCATGCATTGGAGGTAAAAGTGTGGGAGAAGATATAAGGAAGCTTGAGTATGGAGTTCATGTGGTGTCTGGAACTCCTGGCCGAGTCTGTGACATGATTAAAAGGAGAACATTGCGCACAAGAGCTATCAAGATGCTAGTTCTAGTGAGTTCATTACTTCCACTTGCCAATAGTTGATTGCATTTTTCTTTTTTGCTATCATGGGTGAAGGACTATCTTATATTATTCTTTTCAATAACAGGATGAATCTGATGAAATGTTGAGCAGAGGGTTTAAAGATCAAATTTATGATGTGTATAGATATCTCCCACCAGATCTTCAGGTTCTCTTTCCCTTGAAGTCCTCATCTGTGTTAATATGTATTCGGATGTCGGAATGAAATTTCTGCAATTTGAAATATTATTGTAGTTATCAGTAGCATGCTATAGCAGTGGAACGGTGCATATTTGTAGCATTTTGCTGTAATGGGAATAGTGGCTTCAAATTGTGGCTAATATCCCAGATAATTGCAGATATTTTGGTTGCCATTATAGGAGAGCTGCTTATTCAACCTGATATTTTGTGCATTGCTAACTTGTTTTTATGGGTATTTTTTGCTCTTTACCCCCATTTTGCGTCAGAAATGCTTAGTATTTCTAATTAGAGTAAATATAGTTGATTCGTCTCCTTTGATTTGAGACAACATAACACGAAGTCTCACCTGCACCACAGCTTCTTAACATTGTTTCCAACCAACCCACAATTCTCCAGTATTGTTTCTGATCACTCCTCTGTTCGTGCATGATGCATCACGGCACAGCTCCTTTTTTCTTTTTTTTCTATTCTTGTTTAGAGGTTTTATAGTTCTGTTTTATGCGTTCTGTTTTTTATTCACATTTCATTATCTATACGTAGTACTTAATCAGTCTCTGCTCTGTGCTTCTGTTTTTTACTTCCAACTCCTTTGGTCTCTGTTCAAATATCTGATGTTTCCTGTGCTTTTTATTAATGCCATCATTTTTTTTGACCCCATTCATACGTTATCATTTTTTCTTGACTGCTACGGTATCAACCACAATCACATTGCTTTTGTTTTTGTTGTCTTGTTGGTTATACCTTGGATTTAGGATGATTTGTGTTTTGTAAATTTTTGGCCAGTAGATTATGTGGTTTCACTATTACTTAAGGCATGACAATGGAAATAAATAAGAATGCTATTGAAGCAAGCCTGAATTGCAGTTCAGAAGAATTTCACTAATAAATTGGCATAGTGGAGTTGTGGTGTGCCTAAGCTTGTTGGCAATGACAGGAGACTTGTAAGTTAATATTTAGATCAAATATTGGAGCTGCTACTTTTCATGGCAATAAGCAGCCTGCCCTAATCATTTGATCACTGCACCGCCGTTAAATGAAGTAGCTAGTTGGAGCCTTGGAGGGGCTTCTTTTACAGAATTTTATAGTTCCCAATGTCTTTATTTGGATTTTAAACTAATTATGGTCCAGTTACTCAAAAGTTCATTTTGAGTTTCAGTATGTAACTTAATTGGATGCATGGTTAGGGTCTGTAGTCCAGGTTACTTAACTGGTGTATGCATGTTGCCCTTGCTGTAGACTTGTGGATATATATTGGCCATATTCTTTGTTAGCCTGATTAATATTATGAAGCATATGATAGCCTTTGAATCATTAAGTTCTTACTGTGTAGGTTGTCTTGATTTCTGCTACCCTTCCCCATGAAATACTGGAGATGACAAATAAATTTATGACTGATCCTGTAAGAATCCTTGTAAAACGTGATGAATTGACATTGGAGGTAAGCAACTGTTTTCATTGACTTAGTGCAGTTTGATTTTTAACTGGATATTTATGCAATTGCCCCACCCTCCAATGACAGGGCATCAAGCAATTTTTTGTTGCGGTGGAAAGAGAGGAATGGAAGTTTGATACCCTGTGTGATCTATATGATACTCTCACCATCACCCAAGCTGTTATATTCTGTAACACCAAGAGAAAGGTAAATGAGAACTATCAAATATTGGTAGGATAGGCCTTCCATTTCATTTCACTTTGAACATAGGGTAAATAGTACATTATTAGATTTTTTTAAGCTTTGTTGTTGCTGTTGTTGTATTAGATTTTGTAATATTTGTATATTTTTGCCCATTTTGATCATTTCTGTGATGTTAATATTTATATCTTCTTTGAACAGGTGGACTGGTTAACTGAAAAAATGCGTAACAATAATTTCACCGTCTCGTCAATGCATGGTGACATGCCTCAGAAAGAAAGAGATGCAATTATGGCAGAATTTCGTGCTGGAACAACCCGTGTACTTATAACAACAGATGTTTGGGCTCGTGGTCTTGATGTACAGCAGGCAAGTTGTTGCACTAGTCTTTCTTTCTGTGTTCTACATTACTTTTATTTGTGCCTCTTGAATATGGCAAATTCACATCACTAATACCCTCTACGATGTCTAGAGTATGTGGTAATTTGTCCTGAATCATCGCTCTGTTCTGGGTTGCATTGTATGTGTTTCTGCTTAGTTGAAAATATAGCAAGTAATTACTGACTTAAAGAGAAGTGGACAAATTACAGAAATGAATATTATTGGTTAATGTGCCCTGGTATTTTTAATTTTAGCAAGTTAACAAAAATTGAACCTTCTAATTGTAACTCTGAATCATTGGTTCTAATTTTACTGATCATTTGTTGGCTTCTTTCTATTGGATATTGCCTATTGGTCCTAATTTTGTGCCTTGTTGTCTGTCTTTTTATGTTTTGGGCAATTGAAGGTGTGTGCTATTATAGTAGCAAATCGTTTTTGTTCTTAAGATATGCAAACGAATGGAAGTTTTTGTAGGATCAATTTGGCTAATATCAATTGAAAGTTATTGAGGAATTCTTCTGTTATGTCCTTATGAATTGTATTTGAAGGAATTTATTCTTGATTTTGATTATGCATTTGCATTTGTTATCAGGTTTCTCTAGTGATCAATTATGACCTTCCAAATAATCGAGAGCTTTACATCCATCGAATTGGCCGTTCTGGACGATTTGGAAGAAAGGTATTGGGAATGTCTAAATTAGTACTAATGTTTATTGACCCCAGTAGTCACTGTCTGATTTTCATATCAGAATCTATTTTGCACTATAGGACAATTTTGAGAGGTTATCTACTGATTCTTTGTCCGTCTAGTACCGTCATACTTCCTTATGGTTTTGTGATTTCCATAGACTGTTGTCTATTGTCTTTATTATGTTTTACTTATGAGACATATTCATGGTTTGTAGGGTGTTGCAATAAATTTTGTGAAGACTGATGATATCAAGATCTTGAGAGATATTGAACAGTATTACAGTACTCAGATTGATGAAATGCCCATGAATGTTGCCGATCTTATTTAAAATTGTCATGTGGTATAATGGGTGGAGTGGGCTTGTCGTACCATGTGGTAGGGAATAGTGTTTAACTGTGGTTTCTTGCTCTGGAATACATTCCTTATGCTCTTGTAAACTTTGATATTTGGTCAACTAGAATTTTTATAGAGGTTTGACTGTACCAGAGGTAGTGTTTGCTGATGAGGTTGAAATTAAGGTGTAAATTGTGTTGAATTGCGTTAATTGAATCTTTAATTTTGTGCTTCAAATGACAGGTGTGGTTTTATTTTTTTAGCTAATTTATGGGCGCTTGCTGTTTACTGTTGTCATTCTATCTGGTGAGAAGTGAATATAGGGAAGCCTCACTCACACTAAGTTTATATGCTTTTTAGGCAAACGTTTACTTTACTGCCGGATTTAATTACAATTTCTCTCAAATTTCGGATTTCTGATTGGATATGATTCACTTGCGTGGATAGTGCAATGTTTAGAAATCGATAAGGTATGAATTTATTTATGAGGTGAGAATGATTCTGGTATATGTAGCGCTTGGTTGACTCAAGGAGGTTATGTTAAGACCAAGTCATGACCTACTTTGGTGGTAGCAAATAATTCCTATCCAGGGTAAGTCAGCATATCACTTCCTGATTTTTGTGGCTTTTAAACTGCCAGGCTGTTGCCTCCATATATCTTAGCTGGAAAACCCTGCTACCAGATAATATTTTGACTGGCCAGATTTCGAAGGCCCAATTTTAGGCTTGCAACAAATCTATATATTTCTTGAAAGGGCAATTTGTTAATATACTTATTTTTTAAAAAAATTAATAGGTTGCAACTATCTTGTGTGTGTACGTTTGTGTAGACAAGCGGCATCACTGGCATATACAAACCAACTCGTAAATCACAAAAAAGCTGCAATAAATAGCCTGCAACTATATGGGTGCCGGTGGGTATCTCTTCAGGTGGAATTTTCTTCCTCAGCAATCGGATTTTAGCCCGGGTTTTGACCAGCACTAGAACAGTGCGTTGATGCTTTTTTTGTGGGTTAACAATGCTCTGATACTTCAACACCTTGATGTGCCCAAGTTTACGTACAGTGTAAGCTTCGTTTTTATATGGATTTGGGTCAATGTAACCAGCAAGTGGGATCCCTTCACTCATACCATGCATATGACATGCAGCAGAAATTCCATTGACTCGGATACATTGAGGAAAGCTTTCATAACCTAAACTAGTTCTATACTCCTTTTGTTTTGAAACAATAGTAAATTCTAGGGTATGTTCAAAAATTAAGAAATTCACTAAAATACTCTTTAGGAAAATGAAAGTTAATTTTGATTATACTACCTTCTCACTCAGAATGTTTTCTTATTCTGCCTAGAGGGTATTTAAAGTGTAGAAGTGTACTGTACTGCAGAAAACAAAATGCAAGGTACATGATTTAAAAAACTAATGATTAATATAATAATTTTATAATTTATCTTTCTAACTTGTTTTTCTGTCATTAACTTTTTGTCGTTAATTTCTTGAATAAAACTTAAATACAATCTTTTAGGTATTTTTGTGATAATTTTTTAATAAAAAATTGAGTTTTGTCTTGATAAAAGGTGAAGACTTAATATTGTATATTATTGCGGTAAAACATTAATTTTGATTAAAAAAACAGTACTCCCTCTATCTTGTACAAGTAATTCTAAATCTTTCTATTCTTTTATGTCAATAAATTCTCCTAATTATTAAATAAAGAAATTATTAAATATTTTTAAGATAAAAATGACTGTTTTTATTTAATGCCTTAAGTAATAGAACAATTGTTACGAAAATCATTTAAAGAATGTAAAATACTTATCTCAAATTAGATGTTACTTAATTATTTTTTATTCATCAAATTATTTGTCACTTAATACATAGCTAAGCATCAATGCCCATAATGTTTAAGTGTTATTTTGGAATTAAATATAAAAAATAATCAAACCTTGTTTTTAATATGCTTTATCATAATTTATAATGCATTTTGATATTATTTTTTAATAAAAAAAATATTTATTCATTCCTTAGGCAATGTATTTACGACGCTTGAGCAAGACCCGTTTAATATACCTTGGGCATCGCCAGTAATCTTAAGTTAGAAGGAAAACAAGCATTTTAACAATGGGAAACATAAGTTATAAACTTAAACTATAAAATCATATTTTAAAATAAAAACTTAAACCATAAATACTTTCTCACACGTACTGTGCCTATTTACTACTAGGGAGAAATATACGTTGACATTCATTGTTTAGATATAAAATGAACGGAGGAAAGAGGAAGATAAAAAAAACATAAAATAGTAAGAGACGTAATCAATAGTAATAGAAAAGAAAAAAATATATAAAAGTTTTACTGCTAATACATAGTTCTACATGTAGTAAGTTGTAATCCACAGTTGATAGTGACAGGACACCTTGGTGAAGGAACAAGATCTTCTTGCTTACACACATACAAACGACTTGGTTTTGTCTTTTGGAGCTTTTTTTGTTGTTTTTTTGGTCAAATCTTTTGGTGCTTCAACGTTCCTTTTTAACTTCAAAGATGGGGCAACAGTGAGGCCATGTTAAGGAACCAAATTCCCATTTTTTTTTAATACGTAAATATTTGTCGGGTTGACCCCTGTGAATGTGATATTAAAGAAGTTCAATATTATTTAAAGGTTTTACTAACAAATCTCCCCCCCCCCCCCCCCCAAAATATGGTTTGGAACAGTGGTTAAAAATAATGAATAATATATATATATATTTCAAAAAAAACTATATTAGAATGCATTGAAAATTTATGGGATAAATACATTTTTACAGTTTTTAGCCAACAAAATATATTTTTGTTATTTCCTAATCAATATTCTTAAGATATTGGTTAATATTTTTCATCAATTTTTCTTATTTACACCATCAATTGTGTATTATTAGTATCAATAATTATTTTGAACTTGGACTGAGCACGATTAAGGCTCTTCACCTCTCTACAATATGTGTTTAGTCATAATCAAACATTTAAGCCCACAATCTCAACCTGTGTTGCCAATTGAGCCAGCTCTCCTGAGTAGTATACTTCATTAATTAATTATTAATTGAATGAAATTTTAATTAAATGATATAAATTAGTGTATATTATACAATGAATTTAGCTCATCTGTAGTGAGGAACTGTGTAAAATATATAAATAAAAACAGAAAAAACATATTTATCATTAATTTAAATTTAAGCATCTATTATATATATTTAAATTTTAAATAAAAAATAAATAAGGAGTTGTTTTTGGAGTCAACCCCTTTATACAAGAACCCTTTCTTCTCACTTTTCTCTAAAAATAAACAAAAAATATACATAAACATTATAAAATATCATTCACTTTCCTTTATTTTGTTTCTTCCTTATTTTTCGCAAACCAAACATATCATAAAGCATAATTTGTTCTCTCTTTTTTAAACGTTCCTTTTACTTTCTCTTTTTCAAACAAAGTATTCGCACATATCTTATGAGTCTATTTAACAATATAATGCATCAAAAATACACTCTCTCTTTTTTTTTTGTATATAATAGAGCTGTCCATCAGTAACTATATATTTATATCCATTAATATAACCAATCAGGGCGTTAAACTGTTAGCTTTGTCCTGTTCTATTTACACTAACATATAATTTTTTTTATCTTAGACAAAATCTAATTAATGGAAATAATCCAAGCAATTAACATATTTTATTGTATTAAAATAAATAAAATGAGAATTATGTAGGATGTTGGGAGATTATTTTCGTATTTTTTTAATAAAATATATATTTTAATAAAAATATGAGTGTGCATGTACATCAAATTATATTCAATAGCTTAAATTTAAATTCATTAAAATGAATTCGACTTAATTTTAAACCCAAAAAACACTATATAATAATGAGAAGTGTAATGTATAAACCTAAATAATCAGAACTATAAAAGTTATTTTAAAATAAATAATTCATATGCATGCATTTATCTTATCAAGAGTTGCATTAACTAAGATGATTATAAATAATTAAATGAATAATAAAGCAGAAGTTTATAAAAGAGTTGAATTAATAAAGAAAGAAAATCGTGTGCAGCGGCCGTTATTGTAAACCTGTGTCTCATTTTACGTAATAATATTATTATGTTAGATGTTACGTGTTACTTTGTCGTGTTTGAGGACCTTTTCATGTCCCACTAGTAGTGTAAAGTTTAGAATAGTCCTACGAGATCACACAAAAGATAGGTAGAATAATGGGTTGTATTTATACTACGTACCTAGCTACCATGTGCGGTACAAGCTTGAAGCAAATCTCTTTCATTAGTACTGATTTATTCTACCCACTAGAAGATTCATCTAGGCAAGTAGCTCGCACTAATGCATCCTCCATGCAATTTCTTTACACTATACAACGTCTCCATTCAAAGGTTCCTTCATAGGGTACTTTCCTATTTTTATTTTTATTTTTCTTACAAGACCCAATATATTTGTGTACCTACAGCATTCACGGGTATATAGTGTCTATTATGCTAGTTGCCAAGACTAGAGTATAGAGCTGCAAGATGAGACGTGTCGAGGTCTCAAAGGTCAATGCTTTATTTAAAGAAGTATTGCGAACTCCTACCACTTGGGCTAGAATACAGATGTCATAGAAAACTGTTCCAAAAGTTCAACACATTAGTAAAGGCTCATAACTAATTTTAGAATGATGATATCTTCACGTTCACCTTTTGCGTGTAGTATATATTGTAAGTAGAAAGAAGAGAGATAAGAAAGAAAAAAAATATCGAAAAAGAAGTAAGAGATGTGCAAAATGATACGTTAAGAAGTAAGAGATAGATTAAAACAAGGAAGGATGAAAACGAGTATGCGAAAAAATGAGTGTAAAAATATAAATGTTGATAATTTATATGTAATATGCCCTTCGGCAATTGCTTTAAAACTCAAAGTTTAGATTTTTACAAAAAAAAAAAAAAACTAAGTTTAAGTTTAGATAATGTATACCCCTCTCTCAACGCATGATTATGTCACACATCTTTCACATTCCAAAAAATGTTGAATATATTAGGCTAATGTATTTGCAATTCTTGTTGCAAATGACAATCTAAAATACTAACATAAACTATCTCAAAATCGACTACGGTGGGTGACAATGACTTTTTAGTTTTAATTCTGCCCAAATCGATTTGAAGACTTTCCAACCAACCAATGCTTTGATCAGTATCCCTTATAAATTTGACAAAAGTAAGCAAAACAATAGAGAATGGGATTATATTGCAGTCCACAAAAGCTCCCACAAATAAGGATGAAAATATATCATACATGGTTAGACTTAGATCTTGCAAACTTGGCTCAATTCAATTGTGTTTCTACCCTTACCTACTTATGTTCTTTATGTAATTTTGTAAGGATAAATAGCATCTCATCACTTGTTTTTGTTACACTTCTTTTTATAACTTAAATCGATCCTAGGCATACATTATTCAGCCAGTTCTTATTTTTCAGGTAAAAGTCTTTTAATCAATGATGATAAAATAAATATAATAAAAAGTATAGTGTTAGCTATATAGAATGTTTTTTCGTCAATGCAAGAGTGTAGTAGCAAAAGGACTATAGAATGCCATCATTGACTTGTGCAAAAGTGTGTTGGCTAGGGTGATGTATATATGCCTAACAAATTTGCAAAATTTGGAGGCACTTGACCTAGCAACAATAATAATATGAATTTTGCTACTACACTCGATCTATTTAGCTCGTTAGAGTCCAATGGGTAAGCTAAGCCCATATATATAATAAGAATTTTACAATTACACTTGATCTATTAGCTAGCTTGTTAGGGTATTTCTCAGAGGTTCATGGAAGCATGGAAGCATTAGAGTGTTAGATCAAGAATTCATGGCGAAAGAGCCAATCAAAGGTACAAAGATTTTATGTTTATCTTTCAAGTCTAATACCTTGTAGGTCAATTCTGGAGACCGGCCTAAACTGCAACTTTTTTTTTATGTTAACACTTTTATAGGTCAACCTCTTGGGGGGTTGTTTTAGGTTCTTTAATTATTATTATGTCTTTTTACAAGGAATCACGAGGAAAAATAACAAAAAGGTAAAGGTACTGTGACTACGGCCTAGAAACTTCGAGCCTAAAAGATCCTAAAACAAAAAACGCTTCCCTAGAAGTATGGTTAAGATCAAAAGTTACTTTATGTAAAGTGCTGAAACGAATTTTGCTGTGATCCCATATTGTCCCAGGACTACGTTTAATTTCCAACCAAAATCTCCATAAAAATAAAATAAAATAACTACGAAGATCAGTTTCGTATACAATCAGACACGTTCTACTATAAAATTTGTACTTTTATTAATCTTATTTATAAAATCCTTTCAATTAAATCACAAAAAATAGAAAATATAACCAGTTAATAATTAATACTGTAATTTTAAGAAATATTTTAGATTTTAAAGATTATAAAAAATTTCTATCCTATATTTTTTATAATAAGGGAACAATATTCCTTGACAAAACACCTATATTTTTTCTTCACATTATTCCTCAAATACAGTAGGATTTCATAGACACTAGTAGAGTCACTCTAAAGTGATAGTGGATATAGATTAACTATACTTGTAGATGATCTGCTGAAAAACTTGGTTGAGTTTAGAAAATCCGAAATTTAAATTATAATTGAAGACTCCAAAGCAAAAACTAAAGCATGCACAAGATGTAAGATAAGAGGGAAATTGTACTTTCCGTTTATACAACATACCTCATAAACAATGCACAAGCCAATTTTCCATAGCATCGAATACAAAATCGGTGGTTTGAAAACCGCCATAGATGTCAACGGAAAATCCTAGCAATGCATGCACATACCATAATTCCAATAATGAAAAAGCTCTTAAAACTAATCACACCCTTAATAGCTAACAAGGAAAAGCACATATTACAAATAGTATTTTTCTTCATACATATATATGACATAAATAATAATTAAAACTGAAATATTTTATTTTGAGCATAAATTTATACTAATTGATAATATATTATTAATTAAAATTTACCGATTTATTATAATTATAATAATAGTAATAGGAATCTAGGAGAGAGGAGCCCTATGAGGAGCACCCTTTCTTCTGCTGCCAAGAGAGAGGACGATCCCAGGGAGGAACCTGTTGGTTTTGCCCTTCTTCATGTTGTTTGGTTCGCGTGAAATTACAGAATTGCTGGTGGCTTCAGTGTTGGAGTAAGAGGAACTAGGGGCAATTTGGGTATCTTCATCAATTACTTCTGAGCCATCCACCCTTAGGCCCTCGAACTGCGAAATTGCAAAGTCAGATTCATCGAATCGATGCAAAATACTGGACAAGCTTTGACCCTCGTACACCATGTAATCCACCTGCAATATCTTTACATTAGAAACCCATAATCATCACCCAATTTAATTTTCAATTTAAGTTTTATTTTTTGTTATTATTATATCATTCTTATATTAAAGTTAATTTTAGGAAATTAAATGTATTATTTGAAAATTTAATCATATACTACGATCATCAAATAATGAATTTCATTTTAATATAACATTAATCATATATTGACGTGTATGGAAAAAAAAATGGAATCTTTAAGGTAATTATGTGAATTTAATGATGTGACATTATACGGTTATACAACGTAATTAAACTTTTGAATAAAAATGTGTAAAATGTTTTATCAAAATTAACCCTTACTTTTATCACCATACGATATTTTGCTTTAAAGATAAACTTTAGTTATTACTACCCACCGCCAACATGTTCCATTGTGTTAAACAAGATTAAAAAAAACATTTACTAACCGACAGAAAATTTGTTTCTAACAATAAATAGTATATGATTATGTTATATTTGATGTATTATCTACTGTTAGTAGACAGAACAAGATAATATATCATATCAGCATTTAACGTATTAATAATTACTAATATATACAATCTTAATATTAATAAAATATATAATATTATTTTTATGAATTAATAGTTTACTTTTGGTTATATATATATATTATTAACAAAGCTAATAATATCATTTACAACAGACAACATTCCAATTAACGTTATAATTACAGGTGCACTCAATAGATGGTATTAAATTATTTTCCTTTTACGATAAAACTGTCAGTTAAGGAAATATTATATATAAAAAATATATTAACACAAGCCCTTAAAAAAATTTTACAAAAAAAAAAAAAGAAGCAAAGCACTTATGTCATCAATTAATCACATTTTAAAAATTATTTTAAATTTTTTAAAATTCAATTATAAAAAATATAATTAAGAATTATTTTTAAAAAAGTATATCTTTAACGTTTCTTAATCAACAAAGAAAAATCCTCCCTCCATCTCATTATTTGTCTATTAAAGTAATGTAAACTTAAATATATATATTAAACACAGAAGCTGTTATGATAAAATGATATATTTTGACTAAAATACCATTATTAAGAAAATAAAATACAAGTATAAATTTATTGAAGAATTTAAATGAGATATCAATAAATGTAAGTATTGTTTTAAAAATAATTAATAAATTATTAAATATTTTAAAGGGAGATAATTTGAAATTGTTTGAGTGAATTAAGAGGAAGAATGAGAAAAGAGAATAAAAACCTTGCATGATAGAGAACAGAAATGAAATGGTTCCTGAAGAATCCTATCACAAGTGAAGCAAGCGTTGGCAGGACCTTTGCATGTCCTCGATTGTGGCCTCTGATTTAAGAATATTACTTTGGCACTGTTAATAGTATAGGGCTGCCATACAAACAAGTAATATCCATTTCAGTCTCCCACCTATCATCATTCTTCACAAAACCAACAAACCATCTTTTTTATTTATTACATCAACTATTTTAATACAGTAATTTTTATATTTTAATTATTAAATAATTCTTGTCACAAACATCTCTTATAACGATAGACAGATAAAATAATTAACACTGTCAACCATTTATTTAATTACGTTCACTTCTTCAAAGAAAATTAAATAATTTAAATATACCTCAATTATGAATCTATAAACTTTTTCTACAGAATTTTGTCTCACCTGAATATTGGAACAATCAATGAGCTTTTCCAGGTCATCTAATCGAATCACATCGTGGTAAACATACCTTCGCACCTGTGACATTGCAAATATAAAAACTCATTATTGGTTATTCAAACAAATGGGGTTTACACTTTACAGTAAACAAAGTAAAAGCAAAAAACCACTACTTTCCATATATATATCAACAAAGTTAGCCCAAGTTTCTAGTCTATTCCTTTATATATCCCTCTCTCTTTTTCTCCGTGGGGTAAACTTAACTGTCACTAGTTACTAGCACAATTAATGAAATATGAAGGATAAATTGTGAGAAAATTAAATGGTAAGAACAGCCAGGCAACACTGGATGTATAAACCTTCCATTCAATTAAAGGGGGTTTGAGAAATTAAATGAAGTACAAAGTGAGGAATAATTTAGGAGAAGTGATGGGTTCCTGTGCAAATAAATAAATAAAGAGACACAACATGAATTGGGAACCATTGGGTCAAACTTTTCGCTTTCAATGAAAGCAACAGCTGATAAACCTTTGCAGGGAGAAATGGATAAAAAAGAGATCTTCCATTAATGGGAAAGAAACCAAAACCAAAAAGGGGAATCAAGGAAGACACGGTGAACCCTTACGGAAACCATATATAAATATGCATAAATATAGATATGGGGAACACCAAATACAATGAGACAATATTGGTGAGTTCAACCAGACAATTACTCAACGAGAAGCACAGGCTTCTTTAATTTTAGAAAACTAAACTCTAATTGTTCTTTTTTTAAAAAAATTATTTATACAAAGATAAATTCAATAGGGAAGAGAATCTAGCGGAAGGAAATTTGTGAAAATATCCTAAACAAAAATTGCATGAACCAAATTAAACTATCTATTTCAATTTGATAACTTCTTCAGTTTTCCCTCCTCTCGTCTTTGGGAAAGTAAAATTAAGTTTACTTTTATTATTTTTTCCAAAATTCCAGAAAAGGGGTTTGAGTGAATTGTATGTGGAAAAACAAATTAGAACAAAAACACAGGGACAACGTTCTTGTGTGACCATTTCGTTGCAAATTGTAATGAAATTGACGAGAAACGAACAGCTAATTGACCCACATCTTCAGTGTTCAAAGGATTTTGAAAAAAACACTGGAAGCTGCTAAGTATACATACCCTCTAAAGCTGCATGTAAGAGATAAAATAATCAAAGAAGGTGACAAGAAAGTGATCTTGAAAGAGAGAATTTTGATAAAACTCAGAGAGATCCAGCTGCATCTGAATTTTAAAAGCTGAAGAAAAAAGACTCAGAGAAGTAAAGAAAAGAGAGAGAGAGAGAGAGAGAGAGAGAGAGTACACAACAACCAGGCATACGGAAAATTGTAGAAAAGAAGGAGTAGCAAGGAACAGCTAAAAGTCCAAGTAATTTGCAAATAGGGAGCAAACAATTAGAGGAGATAAAGGTGCAGAAGCTAAAAAAAAAGGAAAAGAGTTAACTTTGAAGCCGCAGGAAACGAATTCCCAATTAGCAATTTGGAAAATTGAAGAGGAAAGAGTTGAGAAACGGGAAGAGGGGGAGGAAAAATGAGAGCTTTAATGAAGTAAGAAAAGGAATTGAGAAGAGAATGATGAATATAATACCTGGAGGAGAGGGTGAGAGCGGTGAGAAGGGAAGCAGTGGGGGCAGATGCTAAGGCAACAGTGCAAGCAAAAGACGTTCTTCTCGTTCTTCCTGCGATTCTGGTGGACCCCACAACCACCAAAGAATGTCTCAGCCATCAACCTCTCTAGCCATGCAGGTTTCTCATTCATGTCTCCCCCACCATACACTCCTGTGCCCATCATGTCTCTTACCATTCCTTTTCTCTCTTCCTCCTTGCCTCTCTCTTTCTCTCTCTCTCTCTCTCTCTCTCTCTCCCCCCCTTTGATGCCTTTGATATTTATGAGTTGAGGTCTTGCTGCTCCTCCTACTACTACTTCTACTTGCTTATGTCAACTGCTTCCTTGATGTTGATTTTTATTATTATTTTAAAATTGATGGTGATGAGAACCCTAGGTATAGCTAGAACATAACATCTCTATCTATTTATAGAAGAGTGGAAGAGGAGAGAGAAAGAGAGTGAATGAATGGGTGTGGTGGAAAGAAGAGAGTGGTTTTAATGGCGGGAAGACAGCCCACCAATCTGTACTGTCTGTGCATACTAACAATTTTTGCCCTCAGTCATCTGAGCACTCTCCACTATGACACCCCCCTCAGGCTCAGGCCCTCATTTATTAAGCTCTCCCACCTTCACATTTGACCATATGTCCTTCCTCACCAGTTACTACTTTATAACTAAATAGTATGTTTCCATAAAAATCTCTTTTTTTCTTCTTCTAAATCAATTTTATATCAACATCCCCATCTTTCTTCCATCTCTCTCTCTCTCTCTCTCTCTCTCTACTTTTCTAATTTTTTCTTTTCTAACTCTTATTCAAATTTACACATTATCACCTACAATTCAATATTCAACAATTTTTCATTAATATCCTTCAACTCTACATATTCTCTAATTAAGGAAATCATTTATTTTTTATTTTTGTCAAAACTATCCTTCACTTCATAATTGGAGACCATTTTTCCCTTATTTCAAAATAACTAAAGTAAATTTTGTTTTCTCCACAGTTTTTTTTATATGTAGACAATAAAAATGTTTATAAGTTGAGGTACAGATGAATTTATTGACTCTGGCTTGACTTATTGGGAATAATGTATAGAATATCATTGGGTCAAGTTTATTTATTGACTTATTTTATAAATTAATAAAATATAATTTAAATGTAACGTTTTAAATATTATTTCTACTGTTTTAAATTAAAAATAGAGCTTAATATTGATAACCTGACTTTATTTTTAATGTTAATTTTTATTATGTAGAATATCAAAATAAAATATAAGTTTGATATAAAAATAATATCAGTAATGTATAATTAAAAATATATTTTAAATTAAATAATATTAGTATTATGTTATAAATTTGAAAGACTCGATTTTATTATATGATAATTGAGAATTATATTTTCCTTTAAAAATTATAAGATACTATGTCAGATTAAGATGACCCGACATATAATTCTAACGCTTCTGCCAAACTCAGAATTTAATTTTCTAAAACATGAAACGTTCAAGTCAAATTTTGGTGGGGAACGACATCTATAAAACCGGGAGTAATATATTTTAAAAATTTAATATTTATTGTCATATGTTATTATTAAATATATTTATCATTAATGTTATCAATTTATGAACTTATTTATTTTAAAATTAAATAAAATTAATTTTAAATTATCAAATATATATATATATATTAAATTAATATAATCATAAATTTTGTATTACAACGTGTGTTGTAATAAAAGAAATTAAATCAAACATTTTACCCAACAGAAACTAGCAGATTAATTCTTGCGGTGATGGTGTACTTCTGACATTATTGCCAAGGTCTTACTAAGAAAATAGTGTAATTTTTTATATTGCTACAATTTTCATGTAATTATTCTTCTATTTTGTCAAATTATCCTTTACTAAATAGTTGAGATTAGCTGAGAATTTATCAGTTAAATGTTTCATCAAATAAAGAAAGTTTGAACCGATTCATGGAATTTAATAAAAGAAAAGCTTAAACGATTAACACTTTTTTTTTGCACATAATAAGATGGAAAAGTACGTATTTTTCTATAAAAAGAATTAATAAATTTTACAAAAAGAAAAACATTTAGACCACAGAAGTTTAATTGATATAAAATAATATATTATTTTATGAAAGTGAAAAGAAAACAACTGAATTGTACAAGTAAAATTGTATAAATTTTATAGAGAATTTTCAAATATAAGATTTGTTTTAGTGAACAAATATTTTAAATAAATAAGAAAATATAATTTATTAACAAGTTAAAATATAAAAGATTTTCATAGAGAAATATATACACATGGAATGATGCATGAAATATTTCAAAAAATCGCATAACTTTTTTAAAATTAAAATATCAAAATCTAGCTATAGCAAAAATCAATTAACTTTGGTTTGGTTTTGACGTGGGATTGTGCCTAAAAAATCAAAACATTCTTTTAAAGGTAGTTCATGGCATGTTGTTAATAGACGAAGAGAGGACTAAAAGAAACATGACTAATTATAACATTTGTATTATGTGTAATACAATAATTTATCTCTTAAGTTCATCGTGCATGTTCTAAGAAATTAGTTTTTTGTTTATCTATGATCTTAGTACTTGTTTCTCTTAAGAGATTGTACTCCTTGAAATTTGATATTTGTAATCATGATCTACCTGATCTTAGAGCATAGGAACTCTTGAATTTTTAACCCAATTTCACATACTCTAAAATTTTGATATTAGTTTAGGACTTTTAAGGTGTATTTATTGTTAGTTTTATGAATAATTTGAGTTATGGAGATTTTTTTTGGGGACTTTGTTTGATTAAGAGTCTTGATTTGATGACAGCTATTGCATATTTGATTCTAGGATTGTAATTCATATTATTCAAGAGAAGTGTGATTCTCTCCACCGTTGGTTTCCTATTATTAGGAAAATTAAAAAATTGTTATTCAAAATGAAAGAAGCCAGAATTAATGTATTGACTGACTTTTTAATTAGGCTCATAGTGAAGCTTTCGGTTGTAGAATTTTTATGTCTGATTCACCCGTAGTAAATTCATTTGCTAAGAAAAGATGATACTTAAAATTATTAGTTATTCTGGTTTTATTTTAGACCTTAGCCCCTTCTACTAATAATAATAATAATAATAAACAACTTGTTAGGATGCATTTTTTAAAATATTTTATAAAAAATATTAAAAATTCAGTAATATAATTTTACAAATAAATATTTATTTTTTAAAATTTTTAGTTTAAAGTTTTGGATAAAAAATAATGTATTACTAAATATAGTACTATTAACTTTGTAATTTATTTATTTAAAATATGTTTCTATATTTTTTTCTTAAATATGTATGCGTAGGTGTGCACGTGAATGAGATTAATTAATGTTGTTTATATGAGTAATATTCTTAACATAAATATCATTTTTTTTACTTTACATTTTTTTTTATGTTAGATAAATTATTTTTTAGCCAATAATCTAAGAGTTTATTTTCAATTTTTAATGAGATTTTAGTTCTCTAATTTTGTTTTTTATTTTAGTTTAATATTTATTTTTATTTTAAATATTAATCAAATAAGTTTTAAATTAAATTTTATATTTTTATTTATAATTTTTAGAAAAATTAATATAAGAGTGACAAGTATCCTTCTATTTTTACTGTAAGATTCTTTCGACTAATTTACGCATACTAAACAAATTATTAAAAGATGTTAAAGTACTTTTTAAAAATAATCATAACATTGCATTCTTATCCTTATTTAAAGTTAATTTTTATTATTATATTATCGCTTAAAAATTAGAAAGGTCTAATACTTATAAAATATAAATATAAGAAAAATATTAAACTTTTAAAAGTTTTTTAAAAAAAAATTATTAAGAATTATCAAATTCAGTTGAAAGATTTATGAAAAGAACTAAAAAAAGTAGTAATTTTACTCGTTTATTGAAGAAAAATAAGTTTTAAAAAATTATTAAACAAGAGTTGCTTTATCACTTGTATTTTTTATTGACATGCTTAGTTGTTTGTACTTTCACTTACAAAATAAAGTGATATGTTCATTAGATTCTTTTTCTTAATAGCAAGTTTATCACGCATCACATCAGATGCTGATTTCATTTATGCAAAAAATAATATTATGTGGAGCTTCAATTTTGCTTTACTTGCTTATAAAAGCAATAGCACCGAATAGAAAAGTATGCTTAAAGAAATAATGATTTGAAATTAAAAATGGAGACCATTGTATTATTTTTAATATCAACTGTCAGTGGAAAAAAAAGTAAAACTTAAGTTTAGAGACAGAAGACTTTGAATTTATTATTTGTACTGATATGGAAGAAAAAATGTTGCTTTTGCTTTGAACAAACAGTGGAAGCAATTCTCTTCCAAAAAAGGAAATAAATTATACAATCTGTGAGGAGATTAGTTCACCAGCATACTACTTCAGTTGTGCAGCAAAGTTGGATCTCTTGTTATTCATATTCTAATCTTAAAAGAAAGACCAAATTCTCTTTTGATACAAGCAATTGGGTTTCTAAAGTTGAATGGTAATACCTGAAACTATGCAAACCAAACAGTGAAAACCTTATTGAGCAGTATTGTAATGATTGGGTTTTGAAACAGAATTTAATTTCAAAAAATAGAAAAGAAACGAGTACAGTCTCTTTTTTACCAATATACAGTAAATTGTGTTAGATCTTTCAAAAGCTTTTCGAAAAATATGGTCTGTACTGTCCAATCAATCATGCTGGTCAAATTTAAATCATATTTATTCAATGGCGTCAAAAGTTCACATTCTCTCCCAAGTTATCATGCAGCAGTCTATCATTCAAATAAAATAATGGGGATATGCAGGGAAAATAAATAATGCTGCAGATATAAAGTTAAGCCCAAAACATTTATTATTATTATTATTTTTTAATAACCCAATAAAAATTGTATAACAAATATAATTTATTTCATTAAAGGTTTTACTAAATACATTAAATTTGACATTTGATGGTCATCACATAGCATATACAGCCTATTTTCAAGAACCGTATTCACATAAAATGATAATGTATTACTTTTATTTTTTAAAATCTTATGGAGAATAAAGCACATGCCTATTTATGTTATTTTACAATGGGATTATTTCAAATCTGAAAAAATAAAA